GGAAGGGCTCTGTATATATAGGAAATGGTCGCTGGCCTGGTTGGTTGTCGCACGAGGCCAGATATTGGGGCAGACGAGGGCATAGCCGTCAAATCAAATGAATAATTGCGCGATAAATCATCCCTGCGTCAGAGCCGCTGTTCTTCAAGTTCTGGGCCTTTCTTCCTCTTCGCGGTTGCCTTTTTTCCAAAGTGGCTCCAGCTCTCGTAGGGGAACATTTAGTTTCCGCCCATTTTAATGAACGACTTAGAACTCATTTTGGATTTCAAAATGATGTGACCTGCTAATTATGAATTTATAATAATTTATCTAGCGCGGATACACGCTTGACGCTGTGAGTTTCTTCTATATTGTCACTCTTTTGCCCTTTCAAAAATCCTCATTCGTGACCAGCATATTACCGTATTTACTGGAGTACCAACACACGTCCTTGTGGTACTCGAGTAACATTTAGATTATTGGCGAAATTTTCGGGAAAACCTTATCCCTGCACAAGTTTTTGTTTGCCAAAATTTCAATTTGGAAAATGTCTGAGAAAAAAAATATACAGTAAATTGGAGCCCCTTTGAAAATTAAATTCAATGGTGATGTTTTTTATTTAAAAATATTCTTGTTCAAAAAAGATAAATCTGAAAATTTTACATTCAGAAGAAAACTTTTGAATTTCCTTCATGTTTTTTTCAAATTGTATACCCGATAATGATGTGCACCTAATTTTTGCCCCGATATATTTATAGGAAAAAAAGGTGCGCGTGGTACTCTAAAAATAGAGCAGTCAAGATGCTGAATCTTGGACACTTTTTGGTGGGCATTCTTAAAAAGAAGTATGTCTTGATTCAGCAGATATAATTGCGAATCAGGTTAAGTTTTAGTGATGATACAGCATTTGTTTTTTAACTTGCGAAAATACGAGGCACAATAATGGACAAAAACTTATTTCAGTCCTGCTTTTCTGCAGTAGGATTCCTTTTTTTTCATGAACCCCTTGACGGCCCTGAAACAAAAACAAACCGGTTATATCTAGAAGTCAAATATAATGTTCAAATCGCAAGATTATCAATGATCAGGATTTGTGAAAATGAAAAGAAACTAGACTCCAAATACTTTCTTTCAAATCTAAAAAGCACAATGGACCAGCACTTCTGGGAAACTGCCTGACGCGTTATTATTCCGTGAAGAAGACGGAAATGGTTCCAAGGAAGCTCGCTTCGAACCACGCTTAATGCAATCAAAACTTGCCCATCAATATTCATCACCTAATAAACCTAATCACCTTTCACCCCTTAGCATAAAGCAATCAATCATGCTTGGCAGGGCAAAGCTGTTTCCGCAAAGCTGATAACATCGTGAGGTTTAACAGAATTTACCTGACTTTATCATCAGCGTTCGACCACTAATTGCGTTAAGATAATCAAGTCGGCTAGTTTGATCTGATCCAGTGTTCAATTTAAGAAACATGTGTAGTACTTGTACAGTAGTTAAGTACTAGAATGCCATAAGAAGCAGCGAAAAAAAGGAATTTATAATCTCACTCCACTCTGCGCGAGTAGAATTTTGAAATTATTTTGTACGACTGTGACATTTTGCAACCCTTTCTCCAAAAGTAAAACTTGGAACGTTTCCTCAATCAAAACTGGAAGCGACGAAAAAAGGAAAATATTTATATTTTTGTCTCTGCAATGAAGGAATCAGGCATCAATCCGAGAAAAAAAATCCAAACCTTGAAGCACCTTTTTAAATAATGTCGATTTTCGCGGTTTCTGAAATGCGCATATTATTCACGTATGAAATAAGTGATGAATTTCTGAAAAGCAATAAAATCTGCAGCCCTTAATTTAGTGACCCGTATGAAAATTTGCTGATTATGACATACAAGGCGATCAGCATTCATTAACACGCCAAATCCACTCAACTCGTTTGCTACAGCAATATCATGAAGGCTGAAATATACCACTAGCACTAAATGGGATTTTTGCAGACCAAAACTCGTATTCCAAAATTAATTTTGGTCATTCTTGAAATTCTTGAATCAATCTCACTGCTCCGATAGGTTCCATTCCTGTGCGTAAACATTTTCAACAATTATAATTTTTGTTGGCATGACAGAGAGCCGTGGTTATTTTACTCAAGGATATAAATGAAGTCACGTTAGTATGTTCAACTAAAAATATAGGGGATCCATTTCTCGAATAATGCAGAATGAATGTCTATAATTGAACTACAGACGTAAAAATCCCTCTGTTTTCATAGTCTGTTCCAGTTCTTAGTTTTTATTGCTGCAAGTTTTCAAGGGTAAAGCATCTAGGTCACCAGCTTCGTTGTACTGTACTTGTCATGAGGCACTCAGGGTCACAATGTTGTTGTTGTTTTGATTTAGAAAAAGTTTTCTTCTCTGTATGGTACTGAAAATCACACTTGGCGTCTCGCACACCTTTTCTGCCCAAAAGCACTTCCAGAAAGATACTTTTTTTTCATTCTCCCACTTAGAAGATTGCCACTTCCAATCCTAAATGTTTCACAGCATGGCAGAGCAACTCATGGAAGAGACTACCAGCATATATGTGTATATGGTGTTATGTAAATTTTTTTAACGGGGTGAATTTCTCAGAAGTCTGGAGAATCCCGAATGAATTTCCATTGCAGTGGGAAAAGCCATTATTCCTTTCAATTCTATTTTTCGTTGCTGTTTTATTCAAAGTACTTCGTATTCCTTCTGCAGAATTGATATGACGCACAAACGAATCAGCAAATTGAGTTTACTTCGCCAGTGGAACTTCTTCAAGGAAGGTACAAACAAGGTCATTTTTGAAAATTCCTTAGATGTCTGTCAGTTCCAAAAGCCCTTGAAAAAACTTGTGGAAAACAAATACATTGCTTTTTGTACAACCTTCTGTCGGACGGATTCATGAATTTTTTAATGGAAATTCTGTATATATGGTTTTTTCAAGAAAAACATTAAGAAAAAGGGAATTTTCATGAAAATGCGCACATCAGCACTGTGAATCCAAACATTGAGGACAATGATAACAAACTGGAACCTCAAACAAATTTGCAGAAACGTGTTGGAAAAGGCACCCAACCGAAATTTTGTAAAACTGTCAATAATGACAAAATCGGTGTATGCGATTTTTTTTTAAGGTTAACACCGATTATCATATTTACTTGAATACCAAACGCCTTCAAGCATGACGACGAGCACATTAACCTTTTTTTGCATGCAATTTGCCCAAAAAATTATCCCTGCAAAATATTTGCATTTCAGTATACATGATTGAATATTTTTTTCACATTTAATGTGGAAAAGAAAAAATATTTTAACTGGATTTGAGCCGAACAAAATTCCTATTTCATTATTTGCAGCTACAAAGAAATCATTTATGGCTCGTAGTAAAAATTTCATAAATTTTGGCTTTAAGAGTGTACACCTGCATTAGTCCACGCACACCCCGCTTTTCCGCCTTGGTTTTGCAGCGAAAATCTGCGCTTCGTACTTCAGTAAATGCAGAATACCGAACAGCATTTCGATTTTCACGTGTTGTGAGGAAACCACAAAAAATTATGTTGAGATTTATGTCTCATTGTGTCGCAGGAAATGAGCGAAAGACATCATACGATCAACAGAATCCAAGAATGTATCACAAAGGACATCACGAACAAATTTTCGGCAATAATATTGCTCACAAAAAAAAGTAGCGGGTGTCATATTTACGACGAGTCGCGCAGCCCTTCCAACTCCAGACTCATCTGGGATCTTGTATATGCAGGCTGTGCCCATCATGTTTGGGGGGTAACAGTTGCCCACGATTTGTCACCCCATGATTCGGTCTAGGGTTCCGGGCTTGTTTTCTGCCTGCGTGTGTGTGTGTGTGTGTTTTGCCGCCTGGCTGGCTCTTCTTTCGCAATGGGTGCGCTACTGCTGCGGGAAGACAAATGCTTTGCCCGGCATCGTAAATAACCGCGGAATGATTCCCGTACCCCCGCCGGCTGGCACAACTGTGCCTCTCAATTGATCAAATCCTCATAAATGCAGCCATTTTCTGTCCGAGGAAGTAACTCGACTCCTTTCCGTTTTGGCGCAGTCATCCATCACTCGCCGGCTCGCAGCGTGTGGGCCGGTCAAGAGGGATGCAGTTTGCCTGATTCTATCCTCATTGCAGCCCCTTTTTGCTTGGGTAACTCGAGTCATTTTGGCAGAAAAGAGATGTACTCTACACACATTGACAAAAGGCATCTTATTTACGGATGCGATTGTGTCGTTTTTCCGGTGTTGTGTTGCGGAACAGCATAGCTACAATATAACATCGGAAGACAGACCTGTCAGAGCCACTTCAATGTTCCATCAATTCCGAGACAGCGAGACGAATGGAGAATTAACACAAATATTGTACAGTGGGTCCCCGGCTCCCCGCATTATAACGAAGCTTATCCATTCTGGGGAGTGTTTTGTTATTTGGGATTCTTCCTAATGTGAAACAGTATTCCCCTTAAGGTTCCACTGTGAATGATTTCTTTCAGTGTTCCCCAACCTGTGGTCCCAGACCAGCGACAGTATATGCATACATTTCTTGATGATCCGTGGGAAATTTTCTGCAGAATAAGAAATTGAGGAACTTGGCAATGAAGTCTGATATCTTCATCTGAAACTTTGAAAAAACAATGGTACATTAGTTGCAATTATCTAAAAAAACATAAGCTTGCTTTTCTCTTACACTTCAGACAAATTTTCACATGCTGAAATAAATTATTTTAATTTTTTTTCAGTCTGAAAAACGTTTCTTTTGTCAGGCCGGAATGACAAATATTTATCAGAATAAAGAAACACCTCTCTCAGCCTTTAACAGCCGGATCCTCCAGATGGGCGTCCCTTAGAATACTGTCTTTACTTTCACAACAACTCAATCAACCAAACAGAACCAACACAACAATTCCAAAGTAAATCCCAAATACTGAAGTCTGAATATAACAGCAGGCACAACAAACCAGACCATCCTCATGCCATGATGATTGCAACGCTAATAATCTTAGTCTGCGTCCCAAAGCCCTCGCTTTGGGAGCACCTGATTGCTATCTTAATTGTTGCGCCATCTCGCCACCTGGTTTGCCGCATTGTGGTGAACCAGGCGCAAGGTCCAGATTCCTTCCTTTGTCTGTATTGCCCTGCTGGCGTGCCCGGGCAAGGATGCTACCCGGGTCATGCCGCGTGTGTAAGGGATAGTCGTCCCGCGACAATACCAGTTATATAAATTAATAAAATAATATTAACGCTGCGCAAAAACCTTGCAATGGGAAATCCTGTTCGGACTTCCCGATTGCGCAATTGAATCCACCTGTCCATTTTCTAGACTACTTTTCACACAGTCTGTTTGTTCGTCTTGTTGCGTGCACTTTGGTGTTTTCGATTGTGAAATCTCTGATTGCGTATATTTTTGGAATTAACTTTGTCTTGCAGTCATTTTTCTCTTGAAATATATTTGTCCTCGTTTCTCTTTTGGGATTCTGCCGAGAATCTCCTGCCCTGTTCCCAGGCGGATTGTGTTTCTGATTTATTCCCATTTTCGATTCTTTGTGATTAATATTCCATCACAGCGTGGCTTGCCCTTGTTCCGCGACCCCACACCTTCCAGCCAACCTAAATAATTTTTTTTAAGATTCCAACATATCCCAGCTTTGTTGGGTGGTAATTTTTACTACCCAAAAAAATCACATTTTAAATACCTGCGAAAAAGCTTTCAAGCATTGAGTTCTGACTGCAAAAATTTTACAACACTTCACCAGTCTGTAGAAAAATGTTGGGAAAGACCAACAATTTTAAGTCAATTTGCCAATCTGCGGACCCAAGAAGGTTGCGGAATGCTGATCCGATCAGTTTCAGACACTTGCACTTCAACCCTTGGACTGTGGCAGGTTGTATTCCATTCTGGTGAAGTTCGGATGGTTGTGCAGGCAGGCAAACTTTGATTTTCCCAAAGTTCAGCAAAATACTCATGGGTTGCGAAGGCGTAAGTCGGGATGAAATGTCTGGGTAGAAAAACATATTGTTTCAAGAAATCTCAAATTTAAATCCTATGTTAGAAACTCCGGGAAAAATGCCCCGCAGTGAGGAATTTTCATTTTTCAGTAAAAATTGTTCGTTGGAAAAAATCTGATTTTGACCACGGTTGTAAAAAAGAGTTCCTGCCTGTGGGCACACAATTTTGTGAAAATGCCCGAATTCAATTCAGAAAGGTTGAATATTTGATTCTTCAAGTTGCATAAAATTGTGGATTTAAAAATTATAAATGCGAAATTTCAGTAATCCTGATGCATTTTTGGAAAAAAAAAAGTTTCTGGATTTCACAAATTGTACAGGCAAGAAGAGCCCGAAAATACACTTTCTCATCGTGCTTCCAATTGGAAAAACGTAATTTTAGTCGAAACTCGTTAAAATGTGTGGATTTTTGAGCATAAAATTCCGTACTGTGAATTTTTGGTTTGAGTCACTTTCCCACAAAAAAATTCCAATCGATTTTTTTCGTTGCGCGGGTCTTTCGTTATGCGGGGACTCACTGTACCTTAGCGATGATGTCTCCTTCCATATGCAGGATAATTAGGACAGAACAGCTTTGGCAATCAAAGCAATCACCGTTGTGTGAAATCTAATTAAAATTACCGCTGCGGAGAAACCAGGAAGGTTTTGATTCTTGCCCCGCAGGTATTTCAAAAAAATTTAGGGGAAACATATTCGTAACATCTCCAAAACGTCTTTCAGTAATTTTCTCGAACAAATATTTGTTGTCCAAGATTATTTCCCTAAGCTATTCTGTTGCTTTGCTGTTTCATCCTGAAGAGCAGAGTAAGTAAATGGAAAAGGCAGAAACCCTTTTTCGCCCATTCATTATGGGTCGAAAAATGGGTCTGAACTTTCCGGGGGCAAAAAAAAATCGCAGTACTCAACAGAAAAAATAAACTCGAAACTTCATCGTTAGTAGATTAACACGAATAACCATGCGGTCATGCAAAAGCAGCAAAAAATGATGATTATAATCATAAAGTTGATTGAATGCGTCGTACTTCAATTCCTGGTAGTTATTTTTTCAAGTTATTGATGAAATACAAGTTTGTCTGTTTAAATAAAATTAAAATAAATATAAATATATATACACGCTGTACAATTAGAGAGGACTTCATTTTGTCTTGATTACCTCGAAGTGAAACTGGTGATTTCCCTTTGATTCACGAGCATTAAATACTGAACGAGTTTAATTCAGAGGTACGAGCGTATAAGCAATGCAAAAACCCCTTCTGTTCATGAGTATTTCATCCACAAGTTTTGAAAATCATTACAATTGAAGAAAAGTGAATAATATCGACGGATTGCAGAAATCTGTCGTCCAGAGACCTTGGTTTTCATGGTAGGGCATCTACAATACACTACGTGTCAGGGCTCGAAAGGGAAAAATGTGCGCAAAAAGTTTGTTATATTGACCTCTTTTGTTCCGCCTTCCGAATTACTGTGAGTTTTTTTTAGTTCATGGCTAAAAGTCGAAATAGTTTTCATTTTCCTGGTGTAAAAAATACGAGAAATGCGGCATTTTTCTTTTATTAACAGGGTCTCGTGAGCTTCACCAACAACACGAGGAAAGGGCTGATCCGGTTCAAGCAGTTCCGAGGTGAGTTTTTCGCTCTTTCCTTCGAATTCAACCCCATTTTTTCGCCCAGTAGTTCAGCAAAAAAAAAAAGAAAAGCTCATTCCATTTTCCATTATTGATTAGCTGGGACTCGAGAACTAGGGCGTTTTTTTCCCGCTGAACATTCTTTCCTCAACGAGTGTAATAAATGCTTGTTGCGTCGAAGTTCGACAACAAAAGAACAACATCTTGCGGCGAACTTCCCAGCCTTTATACGAGGCCCTGTGTCGTAAATTACGAAGCGACCTGCGAGTCGATTTTTAATCAGATCAGAGCACGGAATTTTTTAAAGAAATTGATGAAATTGCTGCTTCTTTTTGGTTGAATACCTCACGTTTCCAATAAAGAAGATTCCTTGCAAGGTTGTGCTGGCAACCAATCAACACTGACTTCATTTTTTACATTGGTTTCAATTGTTTCGATGATTCGTCGAGGATTTAGAAAACAAAATGTAGGCTTTCGCGTCAGCTAAAGTTTACTTCTTGTGATTACTCGGAGAAGTTTCTGATATCTCCTGGAAACTTTTCAATACAGCACTTTTAATTTACTCAATCCGCATGAGCAATTTTGAAACTTTGATCAAGCAATTCGGGAAAAACATTCTGTGCGATGGAGAAACCGTTCAAATAAATGCATGTAACTAATTTAAAGAGGATTCAAAATTATAATATTCGAAGATGAGCATTTTTAAATGTTCATTTCCAACAATTGTGCGTTAAACAAATATTTACCACGTGAGGCATGTCTGCTGAGGGGTTCCGACCCAGAAATATTTTTTTTCAAGCTCATCGTGAGGTTTTAAAAAAATCGGGTTGCAGTTACGAAATTTCAGAATTCCGCGTGAAGGAAAATTTCCTCATCATCCGAAACCCAATCATGAAGCACTCATTAATCGCCAGGAATACTCCTGATTAAAACGCTGGTTTCCCTCTCCGATCGACGAGCCCTCGAGGCGTGAATCGGAACCAATATTTTCGGGAAGTTGCGGATTATTATCGGATGTAAATAAGGGCCCACCCCGGAAAACTTTCAGTGCGCAATTAGTGGCTAGAAAAGGGGAGCCAAACTTGGGCACTCCTGGAGGAAAAGGGATCAGAATGGAGAGGACGGAAAACCCCCCTGCAATTATGTGAGAGTCCAGCAGGCAGGAAAGCAGCTGCGGCGAAAGCTGCTGCTGCAGATGGCCTCCACTTTTGGCCTAGATTGGGACAAGCCTGGCCAAGTTTTCGCCCCCAGGTTCTCGTCACAGAGTGTATCACGCAGAGATGCGAATGAGATCCATCATGCAAGTGAAAACACTGCAATGAATATTTGTTTCATTCGTCCCATATGGATATACAGCTGATGTACAGTAAAATATCCTTACATTGAAGCCATCAAAACAGCTTCGTAAAATGTCTTTGTTGTAAAGAATAGTCCATTACAAGTAAGTCATTTAAAATTGCAGCAATGAGAACGGGGACCTGAAAAACAACCAAGTTGTAAGCAATTATTTTTATAACAAGGTTCTGATCTATAGTAGAATTCGGTCGCAGCGAATCTGGTCATAACAATTTTTCAACAATTTCTCCCGAAGAACATTGTTATAAATATATTGTTTTGAATCACTAACTTTCATCAATAACCGCAGTGTAATTATCTTTTGCATTGATTTAAGGGGGGTGGGTCGCAAAAATGTTCAATAATTCGCAAAAAAATTTAAATCAGCACACTACTATAGCTTCATTTTCTAGAAATTTTTCTAGCTTCATTTGAATATCCATGAATTTTTATTTAAAAACAGAAGGATGTTTTTAAATAACAACATCCTTCTGTTGCATTATTACAACGAAAAATATGCTTGATACAATTTAGTTCATCACATTCAATTTAACTTTTCAACGCCTATGCGCCATTAATCGGATACCGAACTGATCGAAGACCAATGAGACTTTTGATGTAGTTCCAGCGTTTTGAGGCGACATCCCCGATATTTGATTTCTCACGAATAAAAATAAAATGAACTATATGGGAATTTTGAAAATGTATTCCTCGACGAGAGGAAAAGTGCAATTTTCGACGCAGTCGCCGGACGTCATCATCCTCCCACGCGGAATGTACGTATTTCCGGAGAACAAGTCCCTGGGCCACGAGAGGAAAGAGAGATCATTTAATGATGGGCATCTGATGTGCGAATGAAAGTGCTGCGCCTCGGGGTGCTGCTGCTGCTGCTGGCACTCACAGGAAAAATATACAGCTGATGTACAGTAAAATATCCTTACATTGAAGCCATCAAAACAGCTTCGTAAAATGTCTTTGTTGTAAAGAATAGTCCATTACAAGTAAGTCATTTAAAATTGCAGCAATGAGAACGGGAACCTGAAAGACAACCAAGTTGTAAGCAATTATTTTTATAACAAGGTTCTGATCTATAGTAGAATTCGGTCGCAGCGAATCTGGTCATAACAATTTTTCAACAATTTCTCCCGAAGAACATTGTTATAATTTTTTTTTGAATCACTAACTTTCATCAATAACCGCAGTGTAATTATCTTTTGCATTGATTTAAGGGGGGTGGGTCGCAATAATTTTCAATAATTCGCAAAAAAAATTAAATCAGCTTCATTTTCTAGGAATTTTTCTAGCTTCATTTCAATATCCATAAATTGTTATTTAAAAACAGAAGGATGTTTTTAAATAACAACATCTTTCTGTTGCATTATTACAACGAAAAATATGCTTGATACAATTTAGTTTATCACATATAATTCAACTTTTCAACGCCAGCGCCTTTAATCGGATACCGAACTGATCCAAAACCAATGAGACTTTTGATGTAGTTCCAGCGTTTTGAGGCGACATCCCCGATATTTGATTTCTCGTGAAATAAAAAGAAAATGAACTATGGGAATTTTTTAAATGTATTCCTCGACGAGAGGAAAAGTGCATTTTTCGACGCAGTCGCCGGACGTCATCATCCTCCCACGCGGAATGTATTTCCGGAGAACAAGTCCCTGGGCCACGAGAGGAAAGAGAGATCATTTAATGATGGGCATCTGATGTGCGAATGAAAGTGCTGCGCCTCGGGGTGCTGCTGCTGCTGCTGGCACTCACAGGAAACCCCCACTCGTATGCGACGCTTCCGATCGGAAGCGGATCGGATCCCGGGCCGGGTTGCTCTCAAATCGACACCCGCGCGTCGACGAAAAGGACTGATGGGTGGAACCCGAGGGTTTCTAATTCGATTCCGCGTGAAATTGCAGACGACGAGGAGGCGAAGGTCGGCGAATACAACGGGCTCTTCGACCGGCTGGACCTGGACAAGGGCGAGGCCATCTTCTGGGCCGACGGGTTGCCGCCGCGCGACCGCACCAAGGTTCGATTACCTCATTTCCGACCCGATGCCCTCCTTCTTGTGTTCCAGACACTGTCTGTATGGTCCTGCAGGAAAAACCTTGAAAAAAAAGGATGATGACGATAATAATAAAAATAATAATAATAACGTAAAAGGAACGAGGCAACCCTTGGTGTATACTCTGGGGAACATGCACCGCTACACTATCATTCATGTTCCCGACTGTACCCCTGGTTTTTTTTCATTTTTCTGCTAATGATTGATCACAACCGCGCATTTTCTGAGGGATGGTCAGTAAGTTTTCGTCAGATGTGAGTTTCCCTCGAGAGAGTTTCGTTATATTGTACAATAAAAAACGTATAATAATTACGCAAATTCTCTCATACCAGGGTTAAACTGAACAGCAAAAAAGGTCGAAGTCTGAATATGCAACTTTTGTTCTGGGAAGAAAGAAGGGTTGCCTTCAAGACTATCAGTTATTTATTTTTTTCACGATCTGTGTGCTGAAAACAGAAATTTGAATTGATCACGAACTGGATAAATAAAAAATTGAAACAAACACCCTGATGGAAACATTGTTTCCTTATCCTGGCTCTTGCTTGTGACGTTGAATGCGTGTTTGAAAAAATACTACTTGTTGAAAAATAAACTGTCCAGCAGGCCAATGCCAGAATTGATAAAAAAAAATAATAAGCAAATAAACGAAACTTGACTCAATTATTTTCTGCCCAGAGTTTCCGCAGGTCTAAATTCAGAAATTGTGCGCCTAAAAAACGGCAGTAGGTTTGTCAGCAATAGAACACCTTTCAAATCAGCCAAAGGATTTGTGGGTTAAAAGTCTGGAGAATGCTTTTTTCAAGTAGAGATTCTTCGGTCATGTTCGGCATTTATTTTGGGAGTACCTATTTTCAGACGTAATAACTGTTAAAATTCCACGTATAAAGCAGGAAAATTTTATTGTCCACGATGGAAAATTATAAAATTAAAAATCTGTGGTCAAATCGTAAGACTCCGTTCAACTTTTTTAGCATTTATATTTGAGGGAAAGGCAATGCATGTTCTCAAATTACAAAAATCAGTTCACTGAGCAAGATAAATATCAACTACGCAGCCGATTACTGCGTCGGAAAGGTCATCACGGAGGGTTAATCAATTGACATTTTCCCCGTCGGGCGACCTTTGATTAATGAATCGAAAAAAATGTGCACTTAAAAAAAGATTTTCTGTGAGATTACGCGTTAGACTGCAAGTGAATGCGTATTATTTATTTTGTATGCTAATCTATCCCTTTTTCTTGTGGGGAAATAAAGGTGGAGACAATTCCAAGCAGAGTCAACTTGACCATCTACTCCGTCCTTGTGACCATATCTTGCTTGGGAATCATCATGGCATGTTACTTCCTCGGCATTAATATCAAACACCGCAATCAGAGGTAAGTTCCAGCCTGCATATCATGAAATTTTCAGCTATAATGAGATGTTTATCATGTTTGATGAGGGCTTTCGTTTGACATCACGCGGTATTCACGAATATTTTATGATCAACTGTAGGCTGTCGCTGGATATCATGCTGAGGTTTTCGATTGAGTACTGTTCGCAAATATGGCTTTTGTAAAAGCTAATTTTAGAAACGGCACCGGATACTACGCAGCTAGTTCCATAAGCTCTTTTCCGGCGTTAGTGCTGTAACACCTACTTAGGAAAGATATAAATATATTTTTGCAGATAAAGAAATCGGCTGAAAAACTGACGAGATGATTTTTAATTCAATTCTTAGTTCATTTCAGCATTTCATGCCTTCTTTTAGAGAAGGAAATTCCACAAACTAATTACGAATTCTGTATGACGCGTGTGTCAGCCCTTTTTTTCCCAAAAAAAATTGAATCTTTTATGCCATCTGAAGATATTCCCGCTCAAACGGGAGCTGAAAATAATGACCGATAAACCTAAAAAAAAATTACGGTATCAATCGTATTTTAGGACGATTTTAATTTACTGTTGGCGTACTTGAGACGCTTCGGAATGCTATTAATGCCTATAATGCTTCGAGTAAAAATTAGATCCGAAGTATGATATGCATTTATTGAAGCAATTTGGAAGCACTCCAAAAGCTAACTCATGACAAGCGTTTATACCGAAAACATTTTCGATTAAAATCTTTGCCGTGGCCTATGATGCGTCGATCAAGGTATTCGAGAAAAGGCCGCAATCACGACATTGTGGATGAATAGAAAGATATAAATATATTTTTGCAGATAAAGAAATCGGCTGAAAAACTGACGAGATTATTTTTAATTCAATTCTTACTTCATTTCAGCATTTCATGACTTCTTTTAGAGAAGGAAATTCCACAAATTAATTACAAATTCTGTATGACGCGTGTGTCAGCCCTTTTTTCCGAAAAAAAAAAATTTAATCTTTTATGCCATCTGAAGATATTCCCGCTCAAACGGGAGCTGAAAATAATGACCGATAAACCTAAAAAATAATTACGGTATCAATCGTATAAAATCCTGCTAAAATTAAATGACAACCGCATGAACTCTGCGAAGCCTTACGATAATTACGGATATTACGAAGCTCATTTTTAATCTAGGCTTCATACTATACGTAAATAACTTCGTTAAACCTTCGGAAACTACGTGTCGTTCAATTCAGGAATAATTTAAAAATGACCCGCTTTTTGAAATGTCAGACTTGAAACTTTTTATTCGTGGCGATACATTAACGATTCTCGGTCTCGAAAAATACGTGATGGAGCGCATAATTTTCATAAATTTTCTTTGAAGAATGCCCACATGATTACGACTACAATTTAAACATTCAATACGAAGAAACGATTGGGGTCCAAAGAAGTCTCATCCATCAAAAGTATGCTTGAGCGATTGTGCGTATTAAAAACATGGTATTTTCCTTAGACAGTGACCTTTTGAAAATCGATCAACTCGATATCACATGCCCTAATCATTACAAGAAGTGCATGCAATAATTATTCATGTTCCTCGAAAGTAAACATTGCCTTTCGGAAAGCTGTTTTTGACATGAAGGATACATTAGCTCATGTCTGAGGTTCGCATCGCCCAACACAAATATTTAAATCTTGAAACCTTTTCCTGCACTTCGAACGAACCTTTCTTTGAATTATTTGAATATCTTTATGGTTTGATATTTAAACTGTCTGTATTGTCTTTACATAAGTACGAAAAAAATTTTGTGCTTATAAATTAATAGGGCAACAATCAGACTTTTTCAAAAGCGACAGGCGGTGATTAGTAAAATCTCGTTATATAACGATCTCCGAGAGACCTGAGAAAAATTCGCTATATTAAAAAATTACTAACAATGAGATGCATGCTGGTTCTTTGAGCTTTTTGGACTGAACTTTTGTGGGAAACAGGTCATAGATGCTTCAAAGTACTTCTACGACAGATGTGCGAAGAATTGTCGAAATTTTGAACTTTTTCGAATGAAATACTGTACTTCAGAAATTCAAAAGAAGAAGAAGAAGTATAATCCTTTCATTTCAGACCTTCCCTTTCCTATATTTTCTAAAAATGTATTAATCTTCCTGAAGTGCTGAAGCAAATAGAAAATACATGTTTAAGAGGCACATTGATTCATTAAGAACTGCGGGTTCTTTAGAACATGACAATAAGATCCTTTCCTAATTTCCCTATCTAAAAATGAAATTAAAAAATAACTTGAACACATTTTGATTCGAGCTTCATACTTCCTGCATTGCTAAATTTTCTGTACAACACGATTCGTGTTTATATTTCTGCAAACTTTTTAATTATGCACAAGTTGAGGCTTTCCGCTATGCGCCAATTAGTGAAAATCTCTATGATCAGATATTAGAGATTATTCTGGGATTTTGGGGAAAAATTGGTTCGCTAGAATGAAATTTTAAAAAAATTCCCAAGACGATCTACTGACTCACCAAGAAAAATATTCGTTATCAAAAATTGTGTTGTAATCGAATTTCACTATATAGACGAGGAAAACGCTGTGGATCGCGTACGCCCGGTATTTTCCTCCCTCAAGGGCTGTTTTTTTTGCCTCGTAACTGGCTGAAAACGTTGTTCATAAATTTAAAAAAAGCACAGGAAAAAGTTAAGTACTGCACTGCAGTGTTCTGAACTGTTGAAGACGCCCTTATATTATGAGCTGAGCCATTGCATATCAGATGGATCTGCGCAATCAGTCCAAAGATGTAACAACGAGGTTCTCTCCGTGTGGCTGAAAGCCCCAGCGGCTTTTCTAGTACTGCTTATACGCCGGAAGATGGATGGAGAACACGTTGATGTTTCCCTCCCATCTGATGACATAAATCCCGGGAATTATGCCCAAGACGCCTGCTGCTTTTCCCCCGCGACACCAAGAATTCTTAGCAGAATCAGCACCATCAAAGAAATTTCCACCAAGCAAGGCCCACCCTTACCTTCGTTAGGTATATACAGTATACAGAAGTGAATGCAGTGGTGCCAGGCACATAAACGAACTGATTTTCTTTTTCTTTTTCAAAGGAGTAGTTCGTTGCTGCTGTCACTTTTGAAATTGAATACAGAGTAGTGAGCGGATGAGGGAATGGTTAGTTTATTTTACAAATACAGTTGAACCTCGATAACGCGAACCTCACTAATAAGACGAAAAAACCATCCTACATAATGTCGAATTTTTGAAAGTCCGTGTGTGAATTCCCTTGGGAACAAATGCATTAAAATCCTCCTTAACTTGAAGGATTTGACACTAACACCTCCGTATATAACTAAAATTTTCTGGAGGCATTTTGGCTTCTAAAAAATTGATATAGGAAAGACGAGAGTAAAAAGAGGTTTGAAATGTTGCAGTGTCTTCAACTTCAAGTTCCTGCCAATAACTCACTTAGGAAGCGACAAAAGGTTCATGGAATATCGCCAATTACAATTTCCTGTAGTTCTTCTTTTGTTTTCCCGAAAAAAAAGCTT